ATTTGCTTACATTTCCTTCAGTACAAACTGAATTTAATCGTTTGTTCCATTTATTGCTGGAGCATCTTATCACTGACAGCAGGCTGTGTCCCCTCCTCCCGAGCGATGCACTCAGGTCCGTGATACATCCCTCCTGTCATGTAAAGCATTGTCAAGCATTGTAAAGCTGCAGCAATGAGTACTAAGTGGGCAGCTCATTGTGTGGGCACACAGTGGAGGAGATGGAGGACCCCTGTCAGACAAAGACCTCTGTTTGACAAACAAACAATGGAGCTGGCACACAGCGGCCTTCAGCCTGACGAGAAAAAAAGCACAATTGGTCTGTTTTGTTTTCTGCTGCAACATGGAGGAAGAGTTTGCATGTTCCTTTTGTCGTTGCATTTCAGTTTTGAAGATGGACCATAATGCACTCTTTGATCTTAAGGTCTCACGCATATTACATTTCTCTGGATGTAATCAGAGCAAACTACTAGTAAATATTTTCTAGCTTTATCTGGATCATGCAGCTTCAGTAAAAGTAAATGTTTGCCACTCTGTACTTTACAGGATTGTAGTGCACACTGCAAAAAAAATGAAATCGAAATAAGTCATTTTTTCTTAAAATAAGTATGTTTTTTCTTGAATTAGGGAGGAAAGTGAGATAGATTGCCAATAGAACAAAACAATTTACATTTGAAATGATAAAAAAATTACATTGTCTTATTGCAAGTGCATATTACCTAAATATTTTATTTGAAATACTAATTCAATGACAAATCCCCTTATATACCTATTAAAATTAAGGGTAAATACTCTTAATTTAAGAAAGATTTACTTATTTCTAGATCGATTTTGCAGTGCATTACAGTATAGCTAAGTAATGTTAAACCCTGATGACTGACTCTGGTGTCACATTCTGTTTGCATTAAAAGGCAGTTTGTGTTTTTTTTTTTATCAACTGCTTGACCCCAGTGTTAAAGCAGCAACCTTAAATTAGAAGCTGTTGGAGATGAAGCTTTTTTTTTTTAATGCTGTGCCATAGTTGACTTAATAAGCTGGAAAAGTCTGTTTAAAAACCTCTTTTACATGTCTGGAAAAATATAAGAATCTATACATTTATTCTTTCAATTCCTCTGTCCTCAAATCCATTCATCTATTTTCGATCTGTGCATCCATTTAACCTTTTGTCTTCTATCTGTCCATCTGTCCCCTTTTCAACCTCCAATCTTTTGCCCCCTGTCCATTTGGGGATCCTTTTGTTCCTTAACTATTATCCATCGTTTTGTTCAATATCCATCCAGTCATCTGTTTTTGTCCAAGTTTTTTCCATCCATCATCCATCCTTGAACACATTTGTTTTTCGGAGAAACACGTTTGTACTGATCTTATTGCTTTAGATTTTTGATTTTAGAGCAGAAAGGCAACAAACTTTATACCTCTGTAAAATTATATAACGTATATCAAAAGAAAAGTTTTTACATTTAAATTTAACATGTTTTTTGTAACGTTTTTATGATCCACGATCCCGGATGTAACATGCTTCCACCCGCATCTTTAAGAACACAGATGTTCTCAGATGTCTGTTTGAACCAAATAGCAGTTTAGTGGTTGCAGAAAGTACATCTTCTCCTACAGATTATTCAGATTTACAATAACTGAATTTCAAACTTCAGTATGCAAATGTTTTAAATGTAGAATAATTTTTGTTTAGCTGCAGATGAACATTTGCTTTTACACTGGAGCTGGTTATTTAACATCACATTTAGAGATAAAAAAAATGCTAAGGATGAGCTCATCTGAGCTAATTGTAATCTAGATAGTCTGTTTCCTCTATTACTTCTTGTTTTTGTGTTACGTTTTCTTTTAAAAATAAAACTAACTTAAGTGTGAAACCAAGAGGAGTAAACCATAGCGCGTGACAAAGCCCAATGTTTATTTCTAAGAGTCTTCTATCTGCAGCCTCAGCCGTAATGAGGTGGGTGCATAGCTTGATGATTGACGACATTATGATGTCAAATATGCTAAATTCAGCAACATCAGACCATGATTAGCTACATCTTTTCCTACAGTTCTGGAGTTGGGATTTTATTTTAGAAAATAAGCATCCCAACACATTTTTTACTGCAGGAAATCTTCAAATAATCCGCTCGGTTTAGTTTATTTGGAACATCTTCAGTCGAAAAAGGTTTCCTCTGAATGAAGAATGTTTTGAAGCCATAAGCTTTTGGCCTTCCATCTCAGGCAGCAGCAGAGGTTTGGCAGCTGTGAAGAAAGACACCATTCTTTTATGGAGAGAAATGAGGAAACTAATAGTGCTTGGAGAGGAAGGAAGTCAGCCTGGCAGCTTTGTGTTCTGTCAGGAGGAAAGGAGGGTTGTATGACTGGAAGCAAAGAGCTCACACAGATGGAGGCAGAAAGTGACACAGGAACGAGTATAAATACCTACATCTGGTACATCTAGAGGATATGATCTGGTTACATAAAAAATACTAAATAGATCCACCAACTGTGCTTCTCCTTAGAAGTAAACTAACAAAAACATCACTGCTGGACAATAATGGACAATAAAGGACAAACGTCCTCTGATTAACGTCTCATTACCCATAGATCCAACTGTTTTTTTTCCAATTTATATAAAAATTTGTTTCGCTTTAACTCTGAGCTGACTTTCAAACTGTTTTATTCTATTTACTCCTCAAACCAGACATTGATTTATGATATGTTCCTTTTTTATCTTTAGGAAGTTAAATCATTTCACCACTTTAACTCAGAAAGTAAACATACGGGTTTATGGCTGACCAGCATGTCGAGGTGTTAAGGAAGCTCGTTTTTTTTCATAGAGGCTGTTATCTCTGATGTGTTCTTGTTTTTGGATTCTCTGGTCGCCATTTGGACATTACTCTTTTGTTTTTCCTGTAGTGTTTTAGATCAGATGAGTTTGCTGGGCTAATACATCAGAGTGATACCCATTTTAATAAGTCCTGCTAGAAGTTTAACACAATCCACATAAAAAAGCTCAAAGGATGGCATAGACACCATCAGATGAAATGGCTCCCCAGATCATGTTCTTTTCTGCAATGTTTCCTTCCACTCTACTTTCCACTTTCTAGGATAAGGTATTCTGTGAAGAAGCAGCTTATTTAGCAGTGACCTTTACTGGTTTCAGCAGCTGTCCATCTGGTTGCGTAGGAGAGTTATAACTTTACATCAAAATGCCTGTTCTAGTTGGGAAGTTTTGAGTTTTAATAAGCTTAAAGGCCAAATCACCAGCTTTAAAATATATACCGGTAAATAGCATAAATAGAATGGAAGATGTTCATCTTTTTATGTTGAAAGTTGTCTGATTTTGTAGGTTTTTTTTGTTCTTTTTGGTAATGTGTAATACATCGGCTTACAGGTGTCAAATAAAAAGAATAAGAAAAGATGCAGTTTTATAGCTTTATATGCAGTTTTATAAAATCTTTTATGACTCTGGTGGCCTCAGCCCTCCTCTACGCTGTCATCTGCTGGGCCCCTGGCAACTCAGAGCGGGACAGAAAGAGACTGAATAAGCTGGTGAGGAAGGCCACTTCTGTCCTGGGCTGCCCTCTGGACTCAGTGGAGGAAGTGGCTGAGAGGAGGATGCTGTCCAAACTCACATCCATCATGGACAACACCCCTCACCCCTGCACCAGACTGTAGAGGAGCTGAGCAGCTCCTTTAGTCAGAGACTTAGACACCCTGTCTGTAAGAAGGAGCGCTACCGCAGGTCATTCATTCCTGCTGCCACTAGACTCTATAATAATGCAATATAACCACAATAACTCCTGTAAAAACCACTGTGCAGCTATATTATAGTTTTTTATTTATTGACTGTGCAATATGCTGAATGTGCAATATTTCTCCCCCTGTATATAAGCCATCCGGATTGTACATATTTTTATTTCTTATTTTTATTTTGTTTTTCATTGTGTACGATACATGTACACTTGCACCTTAATCCTGTTTATCTTGATATACTGTATATACCTGGATATACTGTATATACATTGCTTACTCTTAATGCACCTTTTTCCTCCGTTTTCACCTTCTGTAACTTCTATGCCAATATGTGACGAGTGAATTTCTCCGCTGTGAGATCAATAAAGCTCATCTAATCTAATCTAATCTAATCTAAGCTGAACGAACCACATTTTTGCTTAAAGTTAAAGAACGTATTAAAACAGTTGCAATTTATCCACAGTTTTTTTTCATAGAGGCTGTTATCTCTGATGTGTTCTTGGTTCAACAAAGGATAGCATAGACACCATCAGATGAAATGGCTCCCCAGATAATGATCTGTTCTGCAATGTTTCCTTCCACTCAACTTTCTAGGATAAGGTATTCTGTGAAGAAGCAGCTTATTTAGCAGTGACTTTTACTGGTTTCAGCAGTTGAGTTATAACTTTACATCTATGCATAAAAAAAAAATGCCTGTTCTAGTCGGGACATTTTGAGTTTTAATAAGCTTAAAGGCCAAATCACCAGCTTTAAAATATATAAATAGCATAAATAGAATGGTAGATGTTCATCTTTTTATGTTGAAAGTTGTCTTATTTTGTCGTTTTTTGTTTTTTTTTTGGTAATGTGTAATAAATCGGCTTATAGGTGTTGAATAAAAAGAATAAGAATAGATTCAGTTTTATAGCTGAACCAAACACATTTTTGCTTAAAGTTAAAGAACGTATTAAAACAGTTGCAATTTATCCACAGTTTCATGTTGGTTTGTCTGTTTTTTATTTTTTGGGAATAAAACACAAAATTTCCATAGATGTTTTATCCGTTGTTTGGTGTTAAACATAGTCATAAATATGTAATTAAAAAATAAATGTTTTTTTTTTTGTGTAGGGATTGTTTTTACTGTATTTATTTCTATATATATCTTTGTTGGATAATTATATATTTTTTGTATTTACAAACTGTATGTATAAAAGGAAAACTCAATAAAAAGACAGTGATTAAAAAAATAGATAAATGTTATGCTTTCTTGCTATATTTTCCAGGTTTGAGAAGGGGAGGATCTACAGCTACATCGGAGAGGTGGTGGTGTCGGTCAACCCGTACCGTGCCATGAACATTTACGGCCGAGACACCATAGAGCAGTACAAAGGCCGTGAACTGTACGAGAGGCCGCCGCACCTCTTCGCCATCGCAGATGCTGCTTATAAAGCCATGAAGAGGAGGAACAAAGACACTTGTATTGTCATCTCAGGTGACACAAGAAGCACACAACGCTTTCTTAACATTGCATGTTCAAAACACTGTAAATATTTAAGTTTGTTTCGGTTCGGACTGTTTTTATTTCATAATTTTTTACTAGAAAAAATGAAAAACCTATTATTCCCAAAACATTAGTAGGGGGGGATAAAGCTCCCCTCTGTGGTCAAAAAAAGGAATTGAGTCTCTCTAAATGCTGGCTTTACATCATGCAATAAAGATAACTTGCAGAACATGTATGATGTATCAACAATTGATATATTGAATGATTAGAAAAGAAAACTAAAAGCAATAAACAGATTTATGTTTATAATTTGAACTTTGAACATTTAGAGCTGCTTACTTTGCAAATCATGCAAACCACTGCAGAGATACGCCAACATAATTTATAATTCTTTTTCTTTCTCTTCTTTTATCGCAGGGGAAAGCGGTGCCGGAAAAACCGAGGCCAGCAAGTACATAATGCAATACATAGCTGCTATTACCAACCCTAATCAGAGGGCAGAGGTTGAAAGGTGAGCTGAGGTTTGGCAGTCAAAGAGCAAATATTGTTAGACTGGGAGGAGGTGTGGGCCTTGTTTTCTGGGATTGCTGTAATAAAACCACAGCATATTAACCTGTATTATTTGCTGTTTGGAGTATTTATGCTTCTGCTGCCTGGATTCCATCTGCTGAAGCCAGCCAGGCATGTTCTGCAGTTATTACATTGTTTTCATAGAGTCATTGTCATTTTCCCTGAATGTTCATCACCTGTGATCTAACACCCTTACATCATGGTGAGATAAAGTTACAGCTCAGCAAGTGGTGGTCATCGGCTCAGGTATCCCAGCAGCTGCTGTGTGTCTTCATAGGACAGAAACATGTTATTGCACCAGAGTACAGGACATTTTAATTATACCTTAGGGTTGTTATCCACCTGGCCAGATATAAAGAAGACACCATAATGAGAGTGCCTGTCTTTAAAGCAAACAAAGTGCAGGTTATATAAAGATTATATGTTCATCACGGAGATCGATGAAAGATAAACCTCACAGATTACATATAAAGTGCTGATAATATACACTGATCTGGCAGCACTGTGAGCCATCAGCTTGGACTCCCATAAACCTCTGAAGGTCTTTGCTGATTAAAGAGTTTGGACCACATGCTTCAGTTACAGTCTATATCAGGAGTTGGCAACCAAGACTGATCAAAGAGCCATATTGTACTAGCCTCGTGAGACCATCCTGATCTCGCGAGCTTTCAAGGTTTCACTCGCAGATCAGTCTGGAGACTCTCCGTTAAAGAAAATTTGGAGCCGTTCACCAAACGAACGTCCAATCAGCGTTGGCTTTGAGGCGGGTTGAGGTGTGACGCAACGAGAAGTGCGACAGTTCAGTCTAAAGAACATGGCGGCTTCAGCCAATAAAACTAGCGTTAGCGTGGCTATCGAGCAAGTTTTATTGGAATTACAGAGTATTTCTTCACTGAAAGAAGAGCAAAACACTGCTCTGGAGGCTTTTCTCAGAGGAAAAGATGTTTTTGCTCTTCTCCCGACTGGTTTCGGCAACAGTAGAGTGGCCTTTGGTTGTGTTTTCGTCGTCGCTCTGTTAGTACGTCATATGCTTCGTTGATCTGATTGGTTTATTTGGCCCGTCTATCACCAACATAGGCCAATCAGCTAACCAGTATTTTCGCCCCTTCCCAAAATTACTTCAATAGAAGGTTTCCAGATGGATATGCGGAGCAAATCCATCTGGCGGAGTCAGGTTAATATTGGACCAAACAAACAAAAAATACGGTAAATCAATCTGGAGCTGCAAAAATGTAAAAGTCTTATATGTGTCTAGTATGGCAACACAGGCTCTAAGTGTATTATCCCACCATAGAAAAGGACTATGTGGGCTTAACTATATAAAAAGTATTAATGAATAAATGTTTATCCTAGAGCAAATGTCACATAGTAGCATGAGGTGAGGGAGAAGCAGTGAACGCTCTCACCGCACGCCACTTCACCGCCATTTACCGTGCTTTATAGGTTTTTGTCGCATTGATGAAATCATAGAAACACGATAAAGGAATCTTTCTATGGTGGACGTGTTTCTGTTTGGACGAGTTGATTGAGTCATGAGGAACCAAGCAGGAACTGACATCCATCAGAGCAGCGCACTCTAACCCTGAAATGCCACATCCTCCCTCACCAGCGTTCCTTGGTGTTATTTATATTTTTAGGATTTGGGGAAAAAATGGAAGAAAGTTCCCATCGATGCATCAGAGAGCTACCTGTTTGATCTGTGGACGGTTTTCCATCCTTGCAAAAAAAACTAGCAGCATTAGCGGAGTTTGGAGATGACATCCACTTCTTAAATCTTAAATCTTGCTCTCCTCTAATTTATCCAGAAGTTCTGCAATCGCACTTTTTCTCTCCCTTCCCAGCTTGGTGGTGGCATGCCTTTCCTGGAAATGACTTTCCAAGTTTTTCTTTTTATTGTTTGACAACCTCTCATTACAAAGCAAACATGCAAAATGAAAGCAAATGATTCGCTCCATTCTCTATTCATTCTTTTCTCAGCATTTATCTTCCTTTTTTTCCCTTTGGGATCCATGATCCGAGACGCACCCGCCGCTTTGTTTGCCCGGCACCGCGACACGTTTGTTTCAAGTTATGACCACTGATCTCTATGGCTATGATGCCAATTATTGTTTAAATATATTTATTATACAAATGTTTGCAGCATTGACCTCCTGCACACCATATTAAAACAAACAAACAAAAAACCAAACGTTTTTTATTATTATTATTTAAAGAGCTGCATGCGGCTCCGGAGCCGTGGGTTTCCTACTCCTGGTCTATATGATTTACTGATCTTTTGTTTGCCTGTCACCCTGCTGCTACTGGATCAATGCAGCATTTTCTGCAGATAACATTTTCTAGATAAAAACTGTGGACTGAAAACACCCAACAGTAGCTGCAGCTCTGGAGATGCTCTTATTTACTGTCACATTTTGGCTCAGTTGTGTAGTCTGATACATATGCATTATTGATCTCTTGGGTTTGCATTTATAACATGCCAAAACAAGCAAAGATATGCATCAAGCCCTAAGATGTTTATGACGTCCATTTTTGGAAAGCATGATAAACTCTCCCACACCAACTTGTCTTTATTGTCAAGGTAATTTTTCTTGTGAATGACGCTGAGCTTCGTGTCGACCTCCAGCAGACTGACCCTCCAGACTCTGTTGCTGGAACGGCAACAAATGAGCCCTCCTCCATTTGGCTTGTTGGAAATGGGGTGCTGATGAGGCATAAATCCCAATAGTATTCCAAAGGGGAAAACAGCCACAACTAAAAATATAATCCTTTTCATAAAAGTGTTAAAGATGTTTCTGATGGTCGGGTTTTCCTCATGGAAATGAGTATCAGTCACATCCTAGCTTTCAAGACTGCTGCAGTGATTGGCGCTCAAACTGTAAAGCCAGAGGCATAACACACATCTAAAGCAAGAACAAAAAAAGATTAAATAAAAGGTTTGCTTCTATTATGTTTGCATAATAGAAGCAGTTAATTCATTTTTTTAAGTAAGAAAACTACGATTCAAAATGAGTGGAACAGAAAAAAACACATTTCTACCATGCCCTTAAAAAAAAAAAAAAAATAACATTATATAGTCTGTCCACCGAAAAAAATAAATAAAGCTAGTGTTAGCATAATTTATTGAAGTAAATTTTGAGTTTTGCCCAAAACTTTGATTTTAAGTTTAGGACATATTTCTGTTTTTATTTGTTTGTTTATAAGTAAGATTTATATATTACACATACTTGGCCAGTTTTTTTAGGCCTCCGCAGCATTACCAGGAAGTTCACGTTGTATGGAAACAAGTTGTATGTAAATAAAGGAGCAGCGGCGGAGCTATATGGTTGTTTTGTCATTGGGGTTGCAAACAAGCTGCCATAACACAATAAAACAGTCTCCTTTATTTCCTAGTGTGGGAATATAAGAAGGTAAAGCGGAAAATTTCAATTTTACAGCTAGTGTATTTAAGTATTTATTTCCTAATCTCTTATTTTTGTCTTTGATCTGATTAATTGTTTAAAGAAATCATTAAAATAGTGATTATGGAACAATTATAATAATATTATACTGCTACTGGAATCGCATTGATTAAAGTCTCCATTGCTCTCAGACATGAATACTTTGTTCTGCCTTAATGCAAATGTATGGTAATGGTTGCACCTTTAGCAGGAAGCTAACTCAACTAAATCCAATTGATTTCTTTATGCTGCCTCATTGTTTACCTTTCAATTCAAAATGTTAACTTACCCCACCCACTAACGGGTGTCATGATAAAGACATAATCTATGTTCCTCACTTCTCAAATGTACAAATGTCAGTTGCTCATTTTGGGAGTGTGGATAACGATTCATGATCTTTATTTGGGGTTTTAGGCTATTTATAATCTATTGTGTGTAATGATTTTCTTTTACCCAGAGGTTGTCAAGATTATCCCTTAAAAGGTTGAATGTCAATGCAGTTTTTATTTATATTGGATTGATTGCTTTGTTTTTTTCCCTTCTTTTTTAGCACTGTAGGTGATTAAAATATATGCATAATGAATGTTGTTGCACAGTGTGTGGGTTTGGGGACGGTTTATTACGTCTCCATACTGACAGAACAGGGAAGGTTTGAATCATTGTTTTTGCTTTATGTGAATAATTGTTTAAATTGAATGCCTTCCTGTTTCACAGAGTAAAAAACATGCTGCTGAAATCCAACTGTGTCCTGGAGGCCTTTGGAAATGCCAAAACAAACCGCAATGACAACTCCAGTCGCTTCGGCAAATACATGGACATCAACTTTGACTTTAAAGGAGATCCCATTGGGGGCCACATCAACAACTACCTGCTGGAGAAGGTGAGGTGGGAGGATATCAAAATGAGGAATAAGCATGCTTGTGTACAAGTAAATTAAGAAATTCTGTGCTCATTTTCTCAACTTTACTGTAAGAAACCTTTAGTGTCAATGTGACTTTATGAGATCCCTTCTGCAGGACATGTTTGGTGTGTTTCAGCCTTGTCAATCTTGTGGCTGAAATTTGTGTCATTTTTAAAGAAGGCAATACGAATAAATTCAATTTAAGTCTGAGCTCTGACATAACTATTCTAATACATGTTGTTATTCAGTAGATATTAGATCTGGTTGCCTGTTTAGGGTCTTAACCTTGAAGGAAGGTGAATCTTCCCCTCAGTTTTAATTCTTATTCTCTTTAGTGCTTTTTTTTTCCACAGTTGCCCTCTAATTATCTACCTGCCATGTTTCCCTCTGGGCATAATGTCTTGAGGGTGTTATTTTCCCAGCTAATTAAGTGTTTTGCATATGGGCGTAATATTTTATACCTCAAATATTTACAAAGCAGCATCTTCCACATTGTTTCCTTATTTTGGTTTGTTGTAGAGATCGTTGATGTACACCTGCATATCAGTTGCCTGTGTTAATATCTAAAAGTTATTGAGTACAATTTTTTTCATTTTTTTTGGTCTGAATAAACAGTAAATAAACAGTAGTATATTTCCTACCACACATTTTTAACAGGTTTTATGTCGATCTGGGCGCCTCAATTATTAACTTAGAAAAGAAAAACCCATAAATGTTTTACTTCTTCATGTTGTGACTTTACTAAACTGTTTTTCTTCCTCCTTTCTCTCCAAACAGTCCAGGGTCATTTTCCAGCAGGACGGGGAGCGGAGCTTTCACTCATTCTACCAGGTAATGTTATAGGCTCACTTGCATGTATTTGCATGAACTCTGTGTTCTTAGGTTTTATTGCCCAAGCTTTGTTGTTGTGTTCTTAGGTGTTTGATCTGATCATGGAGGGATTCATTCATTTTCTCATATTTTCCACTTTTGCTTTGGCACTATTGGCTCTTTGCATATGTTAAACGTGTCAAAAACCAGTTTCTGATATTACACCACTTTAATTAGGGATGGGCAATTAATTGCATTTGCAATTTAATTTTCATTTAAGAAAATGGGATTTTCAAAACACAGAGGCACTCAATTCTGGTGACGTTACATTTCACAAGACTATGAGACAAATTTTTTTCTTACTTCATCCCTTTAATTAGCGTTAATATGTTTAAAGTAGGTTTGCTTCTACGGGCAAGGAAATAAACATCCTGCTAGCATGCAGATCTCTGCACGCAAGTAGAAGGGAGCACTTTTCTAAACAAGGGTTCCTGCAACAACGGACTCTTGATTAACAAGCTTTAAAGGGAATGAAAAAACTGAAACCCTGGAGTAAAAAATCTATATGCTTTGGATTGATGCGTAATCGAAATAAAATTGCAATATTGGTTGAAAATAATCACGATTTTGATTTTTGGCAAAATCATTCAGCCCTAAATACAAAATATGTAGGGATAGCTTGTCAGGGCCTTTCTAACTGTGAATTATAATCTAATATGCAACATTAATCAATAAGTTAACCCTTTGAGAATTGCTGGGGTATTCCCAATGATGCGTTATTAATGAGACCTTTTAGCTTCACTTTGTCTCTAATATTAGAAAAGTCCTGTTATGCAGTAATAAAACCGACAAACAGTTGAAGTTTTGTGACAAAAGTCTGCTTTCCTTCCAAGCTGCTGAAAGGAGCTCCAGATTCCCTCCTGCGCTCTCTACACATTAAAAAAGACCCGACAGCCTACAACTACATCAAAGTTGGAGGCCAGATCAAGGTAACTGATCTCAAGCTTATTCACATATGCACAGTCTGAAGGTTAGCAGGAATCCATTTGTATTTGTGACCTGCAGAACAGGAAAAGTAAATATTAGAGTAATAACAGGTCTGTTTGTTTTTCTTGTTGTTAAATATTTAAGCAGAGAAAACCTACATTTTGGTTTCAGGAATAGATAGTTGAGGCCTGATCTTCTTAAGGATCTAGACTCCTTTAGCTTTGTGCTGGGTCTCTGTTACTGAATGAGCTTAATGATTTTTAACAACATGGGAATTAAAACACCTGACGGCAACCAATTAGCTCATGGCATGCATC